CTCTCTCTCTCTCTCTCTCTCTCTTTCTCTCTCTCTCTCTCTCTCTCCCTCCCTCCCTCTCCCTCTCTCTCTCTCCCTTTGTCTCTCTCTCTTTCTATCCTGCCCACCAATACTACAAGTTGACTCCGGGCGGCTTCTATGCTAGGTTGAAGGATAAATCAAGATTTTCTTTAAAAAAAAAAAAAAAATACTCATTTGCTTCCAATTTTCAACTCGAGAACGCAGAAACCCATTACAGGCAAATCCAAAAGAGTATTTAATGCAGAGTTTTAATTTTACGTTTAAGCTTTATCGATGCCCTCAAATCCAAAGATAAGCCTTATTTCTTCAGAGTCCCAAAATCCTCCAGCTTCACAATGGTGGATCGCTTATTTTTTTAAAAAAAACTGACGTCTTTACCGTATTCAATTTCCGTAAGGAAGCTTGTCAGTAACTAACACCAGGACAAAGGAAGTAAGTGTGTGTGGGGGGGAGGGATGATTAAGGTTACATTAATTCATGATTGGATGAATAAATATAAAGCTGCAATTCACCTTAAGCGAGGCTTAAACTCTAGACGGGAGCTTCGTTATTGCTTCTAAATAGCTGTCATTCTCAAGCAGCACACATATGGAGAGTATCAGGCATTTACTTAGCCAACAAATAGCCATGATGGCAAGATGGATATCACTGACTGCCACCTAGGAGCTGTAAGGGGAATATGTCCCTTAATTAAATATGCTTTTTTTGTTACATGAAACCAACTGGACAGATTGTTGCTCTAAGCAATGGAGCTCTTCCTAATGACTATGCATCACAGTGTCCAAACAATGATGAGAAATGAAGCTTCACGTGCCAAGAGCTAGGAACTCATGGCATTCACCTGGCTCCCACCATCTTCTGCGCCAGCTACTTTAGCTAATGGAACAAGGGTCTTCCGCAGTAGGCTTCACTTCGCCTTCCAGCAATAAATTCATCACAGCTTTTGTCAAATAGCTGCACGTCCCTCTTTTTCCCAGTGGTGGGGTGTTGTAAAAGGAAGTCATGTCGTCCTGCACAAACAGACAGAGTCACAACTGTTGATGGAGAAGTTCAGGCTTAGGTAATAACGAGAAGAATCATGCAGATGGCGCCTACCACCAGCAAGGCTAGCAAAAAATGGTTTTAAAATAGGTCTGTCAAATGTTGGAAATGCGATCCAAAACTGGGCACATATTATCACCTATGGTGGACATGCCCAAAAGCAAAAAAAAAAGAAAAGAAAATGGACGAAAGTGCATACTTGGTTAGAAAAAAAATGTTAAGACAGCACATAGATTATAACCCAGAATTATTTTTGTTAGGTATAATGCCAGAAAAATATGATCAAGTGAATGTCTATCTTAACAGCCTGTCTTAACAGCAGCAAGAATTGTATTTGCACGACATTAGAAAAGCGAGCAAGCACTTACAGAAGAAGATATAATTTAAAAAAATATTGAACTGTGCAGAAATAGACAGATGAAAGCTGAAGATAAAAGAAGACACAGAATATTTTCAAACTTGGGACCTGTTTTACCAATGGCTGGATAAAAAAAAGGTAGAAATTAGGAACATAATAAATAGTACTATGTAAACAAATTGACCCAGACAGTTTGCCGTTCATTAAGCACATATTGTATGCAAAGAGGAAATAAATAAAATATATATACATATAAAAAAAGAGAAACATGCAGTTGGGATGGATGATTGACAGGACAAAGCAAGCCTTCCATATTCTCTATTTTAAATATTTTTTTTAAAAAGAATATTTGGGATTTCGACCAAAGTGGATGGGGTGGGAGGGGGAATATTGGGGCGCCCTGAGAAAACAGGAAGGAAGATGTGTATAACAAGAACAACCATCACAGAACAGAAACAGAAACAAACAAAAAAAATACCTGCAGGCATTTTTGGAAAGATCTGTGTTGAATTCAAGGGAAATGATGGTCCCAAACACCATGAGTCAGAGATTTTATGTTGCTGTAAAGAACAGCTTTACCCTGGCAAGGCAGCAATTCATCATCCTCTAGGCCACCAGTGAGTCACGCTGTCCCTGGTGTTGGGGAGAGCTTGTCAATTGCAATTTGTGTTTGGTGCAGAGCGATTGTCCCACTGCAAGGGCAAATGCTATTGTGGCTGCACCTGCTTCCAATGACAACACCTCCTCCCCCTGGGAGGGCTGAAGCATCCTTGGCTTTCTGGAGTGCCAGTGGTGGGGAAGAGCTCTTCTAAGCTGGAGAAGAGGAGGGGGAGGGGAACCTTGGAACAGAGGAAAGAAAGGGAGGAAGGAAGGAAGGAAGGAGCAGATGAACAGAGGTGGAAGATGACAACAAGCGGGGTGAACACACAACATCAGGAAAGGTGGAAAGTGGGAATGAAGAATTGGAAAACCCAGTTTTGCAAGACACCAAGGGTTCATGTCATCTAGCACCAACGTCAAGGAGCTTTGGGATACATGTGGAGCCATGGACTACACAGCCCCATCATAGGTTTTCTCCAATGTATGGAGGGTGCACACTCAAAGGCAGATCCATTTCGCACGAAAGAGTGTGAGAAAGCTCCCGTCGTTTTAGGATACTGCTCTACAGGAAGACAACAGTGGGATGAGCCGACTTTCAAGCTGTGCAATTTGACAGCTGTCACACAGGGTGATACATTTATGAGCGATTGTCCATCAAGGGCATCTGCAGCTAAGACTTCAGTTGCCTTTAGGTTGTCTTTAGATGGCTTTGGACAACTGGAAAGGGATTTTTTGTGGCAACACAAATTTGTTCTTTGGAAGGTTTGGGCCGGGGGAGAGGTAGGGTCCAGATGAGATTCTTAAACCAGGGAGGTCTATGGCTGTTTGGCAATGGTTGCCTTTGTGTGTGTGTGTGTGTGTGTGTGTGTGTGTGTGTGTGTGTGTGTGCGTGCACGCATTAAAATGCCAAAAGTTGCTTTCTGGAATGAATTCTCCCCCAAAAATGGAATGGGGAGAATAATTCAGTGACCAGGGGCTGCACAGAGATCTATAATCGATAACGAGGAACAAAATATTTCTTCCCTCGTGTTCTCAATAGGGAGCAGTCATTCTTTAACATTTGAGCTCCTTGTACAGCAAGACAGAAAAGCCAAATTCCCGTGAGCAATTAGGTAAATAAGTGATGTTGTTTAGAATTTTAACTGACTTTTTCGCTAGAAGAAAACATGGAAGGCTTCACAATCAAAGCAACATTTTCGTTTGCATCAACCAGAAAGACAAAGCGAGACAGTGGGAGATCGTGCAAAGCACAAACTTGGGAATAAGGATGATACTGACTTGTTTTTCAGTGCCTTTGAATTGATTCTGATCTTTCTGGAACTGATTAAACGATTCTTTCACCAGTTTGTCCAAGTCGACTTTATCCTGAAACTCTAATTCGGGATTCCTTTCCAGAATCACAGAAACAACCATCAACAACTGGAATGGGGTGGAGGGAGAGAAGAGAGAGAGAGAAGAAGAAGAAAATGTCAGAGACGCCCTGCAGCAAATTGAGAAGATGTATACTACAACTGCTACTACTATGGTAGTTCTTACGTTTTGCTGGCCCATTCAGATGGTAAACATTTTAAATCCTAGGGATGGCTGCAATAAATACAATTTCTCAAAATGTAACGTGAAAGCATCCTTAGAAGATTGCAATGGGGCTAATACACTGTGTAAAACAAGGGAGGTGTTTTAATCCTTTGTCTGGCCTATATGCCGGGTTCAGCCAGTCTTTGGACTAAGAATGGGCTTATGAAAAACTCCTTCACACGAATGCCTGTTCCAAGGTTCCGTTCAGAATCTCATCCATGTGAATCTCTAACTTGTGAACAATGATCCATACCGGTGGGTTCCTCTTCTGACACTGGTACATTAAGGGTTCAACAACTATAAATATACGATATCAAGGATAGTTCTAAGAACATCAGGGACGGGATTCTACTGGTTCGGGTGAACCGGATGTTACATTGGCATCTGGTTCACCGAACCGGTATTTGAAGCAACTGGATGGCCCCACCCAACCCTCCCAGAAGTCTCCACGTGGCCCATTTTCAATGCAGGTAAGTACAGAGTCCATGCAGAGGCTCTGGGAGGGAAAAAACGGCCCTCCGGAAGTACTGGAAGTCCGGAACCGGCCTATTTCCAGCTTCTGGATGGTTTCCAGAGCCTGAGGGAGGCCATTTTTGCCTTCCCAGAGGCCCGGGGGAAGCCTTTGGACCTTTGGGAAAGTGAAAAATGGCTCTCTTGGAAGTTCCAGTAGGCCACACCCACCATGGCCACACCCACCCAGCAACGGGGCAGTGAAACGGTTGCTGGGATTTTTGAATCCTACCCCTGAAGAACATGCTGTGGTTGCATCCATTTTGCGTAACCTCTGATTCATGCCATGTCTGTAAACTCCAGTTGAAATGGAAATCAAGATAGGTATAGATAATGATAGAACTATTACTGGTTTGAAATAATACAGCAACAGAGGTAAGCTAATGGCTTCTCTCTTTCCCTCTTCACATCTTCTTTTTTCCTCTTAATTTCCCAATTTAAACTTTTCTACAAAATGAAAAAAAAAGTTCTGGTTCTTCCTTAGGTGTGAAACCAGCTGGGTAACTCAAACAACATTTCTCCAGCCTAAAGTGGAAGTTGGAAAAAAAATCCCCCCAAAAGGGGATTTTCTGCCAAGAAAACTGCACGGATCTACCCATAGAATTACTGGGAGTAAAGATAGTCTTAAGAATCACACAGCGACAGAGAGATTGTCTTTGTGTAGTTATGTTGGCTTCGGGAGACCTGTTAAGATTTTTCCCAGCAAAGATGTTGGTAGGACAGAGGGTTGAACCCCCTATAGATTTGAGATTACATTCGCTTGAAATTCGTTTACTGCTCAAATAGTTCTTTTTTCTTTTTAAAGGAATGAGCAGATAAATCATTTCATTTACTTAGCACTGTATGATACCAACCTCTACAATGATTTGCCTGAACTCTGGCCGATCTATACTTCTCAACATGTCCTCAACCAGGAGAGAAAAGTTCATTTCATACATTGTCATGTCAGACAAAGTCGGTTGCTGCAGGAATAAAGGAAGACGGAGAATCTAAAGTGAATTTCATTAGTGGCACTAAGCAACATCAAAGGTAATAGACGTTTATTGCTGGTTAGGCTTGGCACCCAACCCTTACCACTGTGTGCTACAAATTCAGCTTTCTCACCAAGGCAGATGGCCGATCAGCCTTTCCTTAAAATAACTCCCTCACGCACCGTTAGCAAGAAAGTGAAATTACAACTCCTAGAAAAGGAAAAGGTTGCAAAGGGAAAACATGGTCTGAATCCCACAGATGTGGCTTTACCTGTGGCAAGAAATTCCCAGCTACTATTAACCCGTTGGGCGTCCTCTCCAAAATTTGCCAGACCCTGTCATAGAATCCACTCGGTGTTCGGTTCAGGGAGCCGTCGATCTGACGCCGGTTCAACCAGCATCTACAAGGGGAAAAACACCAGTTAAGTAAAACAGATGTTTCCAAATTGAAATAATGTAGGCACGAGTCATTACACCAGGTTGTTGGGCTTTTGTTTAAAGGGAGTGACAAAGTGAACACGAATCTCTGAGATGCAAAACATTCTACAGAATGGTGCATTTCAGGTAAATATTTGATATAAAGGTAGTCCTCAACGTATGACAGACAATGGAGCCCAACATTTCTCTTGTTAAGTGAGCTTTGACCCACTTCATGACCTTTCTTGCCACCATTGTTAAGTGAATCACTGCAGTTGATATAGCAATAGCACTTAGACTTATATACCACTTCACAGTACTTCACAGCCCTCTCTAAGCAGTTTACAGAGTCAGCCTCTTACCCCCAACAATCTGGCTCCTCATTTGACTGTCCTTGGAAGAATGGAAGGTTAAGTCAACCTGGAGCCGGTCAGGATCAAACTCCTGGTTGTGGGCAGAGTCAGCCAGCAATACTTCATTTTAACCACTGTGCCACCATGGATGGATAGATGGATGAATGGATGAAAGGAAGGAAGGAAGGAAGGAAGGAAGGAAGGAAGGAAGGAAGGAAGGAAGGAAGGAAGGAAGGAAGGAAGGAAGG